TTGGCATGCTACAGTGAGGGCTTTTAGTTCAGCTTCTTGAGCGGACATAGACGGGGGAAGTGGGGATGCTTGAAGTACCTGATCTACTGTGGTCACTGCAAATCCAGTGTGGTATCTTCCTTGTTCATCTGCAAATCTGGAGCCATCCACAAACAGTGTGCAGTCAGGATCTGGCAAAGCCGTTTCATGTACTGTGTGAAGATGGGCTGTTTCCATCTTCATCTGTTCAAAACAGTCATGGGGACATCTGGGTCAGGATCTATGGGAGGGGCATCTTCACATATTTCTGTGTGTTGTGGGTAACCAGTAGTCTTACAATTCACTGTTCGCTTGATAACACCTTCTGTGGAGAGTTGGTCTTGATCTGTTGCACTCCATGCTTTGGCTAATGGACCAAGTTCCTTCCATGAGATATTTGGAGATTTAGTAAGAGACATGAACTGCCATCTCCCAATGGTGGTACATAGGAGTCACTTCTGTGGGTAATTGGACTAGAGCTACAGTGTTACCTTTTGTATCGCAGAACATGTCTGTCAAAGTGAGACGTACTTCAATCAATTGAAACAGTTCTTCATACTGAGGGTCAGGAAGTGAGTGTACCAGTGTTGCAGCTTGGGACGGGTTGAAGGTAACATACATCAAAGGGGCACCCTCCTGATCATGCTGGGCACTGCAAGCACCTGCTATGGGAATGTGAGGCAGATTAGTTGGGGTCTGTGGAGGCTGCGCCCCCTGGACACTACCATCAGCAGGGGGGAATGCAAATCTGTGGACTGGATACACGAGCCATGTCAGGAAGAGCGGAAACCGGACCAGCTGTAGCACTGGCCGCAGGGTGATTAACTATGGTAGTAATTTGGACCGAATCAAGTTGTGAGGCAGGGGGAGAAGTGGCTGATGTAGCAGTGGAGGTAGCAGGATGATGGCCTGATGCTGCAGGGGAGGCAGCAGGAGGATGGCCTGATGCTGCAGGAACAGTGGATCCAATAGTCATAATAGGGAAAGATACACTGGGGGCAGCCATGAGAGGGGCGGGAGTTGAAGATGATACAGCAGGGAGGAAGCGACCAAAGGGGGTAGGGGAAGTTACTATCATGTAAGAGATGGGTGTGGTAGAAACAGGAAATGGTGACAGTGAAAGGGCAGAAGAGAGAATCCAAAGGAGAAGTGAAAGGAATTGGGTGTGGACAGAAGCAACAGGAGCTGGAAGAGAGGGTGTAGCAGCAGAGATGGGCAAGAGAGGAGAAGGCAAGGAAACAGTAAGGGAAGGTGTGACTGGGACTTGTAGTGGAGAAGGAATGGGGGCTGGAAAATAACAGGAACCATCTGCCTTAAGGACAGGGTACAAGGCAGCAGGGGCTGGAGAGAGGGTGCTAACATGAATGGGCTGTGTTGGGGGCTCCAGAAACTGGTTGAGCCACCTCCATGTCTGGCCAGGCTCCATCATAAGGAGGTCGGGAAATGCCTGCAACAGATTTAACAAAACAACCTTTTTCATGATACACAAAGACTTTCTTCCCCTCTAGGTCTATCTCTTCCTCAATCCATCCCTCCATTTTAAGCCCTCTAGCCACCCTATACCAAGCGTCCGCAGCCTTCATTAATCCATTATCTTGCAATATCCCATTTTTATAATTTAAAAGCTTCCTCCAGTCTTCCGCCTGCAATCTGCCACTGGGGGACATAGTAATACCACATAATTTTCTTAGGTTTGGCAGCAGCTAAATCCCCAGCTCTTTCCTTTACAAGATTACAGGCTAATCGACCGCAGGAGGGGTTAACATGAGTTTGACCCATTTATACACAACAGTGGTATGGCTAGAGAGAAACAGGGAAAAGAAACGGCAAACAGACCCTGAACCAAAAGAGTGAGAGACTGAGGGAGCGAGAGTGAAAGGAAGTGTGCGAGAGTGAGGGAGAGAAAAAAGAGAAAATGAAGGAGAAAGTGAGCAAGAGGCTGAGGGAGAGAAGGGGAGAGGGAGAGTGAGAGAGAGAGAATGAAAGAATACAAGAGTTATAGACACAGGAAAACGTGCACACAAGCTTCACATGTACTGTAGAGCATAACACAGAGAACCCCCAAAAAAAAAAAATTCCAGCTGCAGTCACCAGGGAGGGAGGGGTTGAAGGGAGGGGGGGGGAGAGGGAGGGAGAAGCAGATTCGCAAGCACAAAGTTTAACTATGTGATTGCCTAAGCACAGCTCTCCTTGGGACAAAAGATAGAATAGGAGAGCGACAAGACATACTTATAGTTCACAATTAACATATATGGTACCCAAAAAGACATATACAGACAAAAGCACAAAATACAGATGTAATTAAATCACAAATAGCTTAAAATAAATGCCGGCAAATAATAAACTCGGGTCACACACACACATACTCAGTCATAAACATTAAATTTTCCTTTTCTTTTCTTTGTAACTCTACACCGAGCTTTACTAAAAGAAAAGGCACCAGTTCTTACTTTACCAAATAAACTTAGCTAAAACAAATAAAACCTTTAAACTCTAAACCGAGTTGTATTAAACCAAAATAATCACCAGGTTTGTTTTTCCAAACAAGGCCAAAACATTCGCTAGTTTCTTCACCGAAACCTAGCCAAAACCACAAAATAAACCTTTAAACCCTCAACCGAGTAATATTAATTGCCAGGGTTTTTTTTTCTTTTTCACCAAACCCGAACTTGGCTAAATATGCCAGCGCTTAACCACACTTGGCAGCATTATATAACAGTATTAAGTAGTAAAACAGATTCTCAGACAGACACTTTCACACATAAAACTCACGCACAGGACGTAGATAGACAAATTGACAGGTTTTATTCAAATAAAGGGGACATGTGGGCATACTATATACCTGTCGAAGACGTTAACCACAGGAAGCCGAGTGAAGGAACGGAGAATAAATGAAGTCCAAAGAAAGGAAAATATAGGGTAAGTAACTCGTTTACCATATGCAGAGGTGATCAGGCTCTTTTTCCAATCTCTGGGAGTCTTTTTGGTCTTGGTATTTTACGGCTTCACGCAGAATAACAACCCTCTTGTCCCATCTGGGGTGCCAAATTGTTTTAGATCAAAGAAAACTTTATTTGTCTATCTACTCCTTCCAAATTGATTAATTAATGCGTGCACGCTTTCCCTAGAAGTAATTCACACCGGAGACAAAGTTTCTGACCAGTGAAAAACCTGAGGAATGCCTTTATTCCCTGGCGTGGGAGTTCCTTTTAAAGCAGAAATACGTCATGTACAGAGTCACAGTTAAACATACAGTATACATTCAACAATTGGTTGACAGTCTAAGGGGTCTTATCTAAACCCACCCTACAAGATGTGATGTCATCATTAGAGTTCTCCCACCTATATTCCAGCTCCATCTTGGATACACGATGGGAGGGGGAGTGAGTAGTTTCTTTCAGTTACTTTAACAGTGACTCTCCATTTTGTTACACGTGGCATATAGCTGTTAACTGGCACAAAGGAAGTGGGGGAGGAGTTAGTAAAGGAAGCTGTTAACACAGGAATTTGTTACACGAGGCTTGATCTGATGGGAAGGGGGATGCTAGCAGGATGGGAGGAATTTGTAGAGAGAAAATAGTGACTGAACACATTGTGGGGGGGGAAGGGAATATTTACTCTAGCAGCCAGTTTTAACATAGTGAACACAGAATAAATAGACATTAGTAAATAGCCATTTTATTTTAATTCTTCTGTCCATAACACTACAGCCAGAATTTCAGGTTCCCATAGGAAAGTGTCACCCTATAAATTGACACTAAGCGAATATTTTGGAGCCAGTTATCCAACAGACTCCAGATAAGGTGGGCAAGCAATTCTTTATATATTTTACTATAACTTTTATCTGGCTACACCAAGTTTTGTTTCCGGTCTCTCTGCTTATACCTGCATATCAACTACTGAGAAACAAACCTAGAAGAAGGTTCCCTGGTGCCACCTTAAAGGTCCAGATCTGCCTTTTGTTTAGAGCCGATGACAAACTCTAAAACACTTATATACTCACTTTAAGAAATTCACATTTCCATAAATTTCACACTATTATATTCCTATTCTTTATTTTCTTACATGTGGATATTCCCCTATATATAAATTGAGGGGTAAGTGCTGCACTGGTTTTACTCTGTGTTGGGAAGTGGGGTGGATCACCCAAACACTGAGTTTTGCTTGTCTTCATCTTTGTTTGTAGTGGATTTTTTGGGATATCCACTCATTAGTGCAATAGCTGCTGACACCATAATTCAGATAACTATCAGAATTGTTTATAAGCGCCTTATATACACTGTTGTGTATTTCTATTGGCATATGCTTACCCAGAATCCCTTGCAGTAGTAATTCCACTGCAAATTTTAGGTGTGTATGTGTATTCTCTCCCTCGGAGCATTACAGGTGGGACATCTGAGATCTGTCCAGAAGAGTGCAGTTCTAGGAATAGCTAATATACTGTGCAGAACCCTCAAGCTCCCATGCCTCTGGTAGAGGACCTGAGAATGATGAATAAACATACCACCCAGGAGGGGTGAGAAAATACATTTTATTTTTGTTAATGTGTGTATGAATAGCTGGTATTGAGACAAATCACTAACCTTTCAAAGTCTATAACATTTTCCTGAAAATAATGCTGATGAAATTACTGCATACAACTGGTGAATAGGTTCCCTTTTAAAAAATTAAGAGTTTTCATGTAAAATATCAATGTAACAAACATACCATACATGCATACACTAATTCACACTTGCCTTGTGCTTTCCAATCAGGTGATCAAGGTATGTATCAATCACCTGCATTAGAGCGAAAAATAAACAATTTTTTATTAAGAGATTTTAGCTTTTTATACACTTTCATCAACCAGCCACCCTGTCCCATGCAGTGTTTTGAATGGCAAGTTATACAGTTTGTATTGTCCAACATTGGCTTCCACCGAGTTGTCAGCTTTAGCACTCCACAGCCCTTTAACTGGAGAGAGGGGAAAAAACAAACTTAAACTGCAGTTGTTATTGTACTATAGGGACTTAAAGCTAATACAGGTCATTGGTTCCAAATACAGCATCTAATCTGCATGAGCTATCCCCATATGTGCAAATATTCCTAAATCAAAATCACCTATGTTCAAAGGCATTTGTGGTAAGGGGGTAACTCAACGTGCCAAACAGCGGCAACTTTAAACAGCCACAATGACCATCTAAAGGAAAAGGCTAGAACAGGGCACGGCCAATTAAATGACCAACAATTTCAAAATAGAAAATGAAGATCTATGCTACCCCTGTCTTCTATGTTCTGCTGTAAATTCAAAGATGCAGACTCGCATACACACACACACACACACATTTTGGTATATAGTACAAAAAGAATATGCTGAGGATACAGAAAAAATGCACTATATGCAATATAGGTGTTTGCTAGCTATTTTGGTAGGGAGTTCAGTTGTACCTCCCATAGTGCTATCCTTTCTCTTCGGGGCAAATTGAATCACAGAGGTTCTTTTGTGGTACGTAGCATACGCCAGTATTGATTTCATCAGGCAAGTTCAGTGACCTGACAGCACTTTGCTGCCTGGGGGATGTAACTTCTTTACTCCTTCTGTATGGCTTTATGTGGTTAATGTCAATCTTGTTCTTCAGGGTAACATTGTCAGGATTTGCCAATTTAACCATATTGCCACACAGCTCCTTGATGATATAAGTGCCTAGGAAGTCAAGCTCAATCCTTCCTCCTTTTCTACCACGTTTCCTCATATTGTAAAGGAGAACTTTGCTGCCAACACTAGTGTAAATCCCTGTGTTTCTTCTGCATTCTCTTCGCATATGCTACCTTATGCTTTTCCTGCGACTTGGCTATATTCTCCAGCGTTGCTTCTTCTATCGACTCCCTCGATTTCCTTTCCTCCATATACATTACATAATTCTTCTCCACCGGCAGAACGATATTTGACAGCTGGAGAACAAATTGTTTAGTAACACAATATAGTAGGAATGTATAATTTTTTTTATTTTTATATATATATATACAACTTTAGTAGTACAATTTTCAAGGAAAAATCAAACTGATAGTTAAGATTTAAAATGCTTACGGCATTTGACCGTAAAGCAAACCTTACCAGATAATAGTGTAACAACAAATAACATTCAAATGTAATGTGCCACATAAGTTGAACATAGCAAGTAGTCAGAATCAGGTGAGATCTGTATATACAAAACAATTGGTCCATGTAAATAGGCAAATATTTTACTTTGGCTGTGACAGACATAAATAAACAGCTACTCACCGGCAGATCAACGGGAACTCCAGCTGGGAAAACTGCCTCTTTTCCATACATCAGAACAAACTGAGAAAATTTGGTCGTGGTTTGGACCTTTCATCTGATAGAAAATAATGTAGCTTCCAAATACGTCCCAGTTGTTCTGTTTTTAGTTTACCAATTTAGCGCTCTAGAAATGAATAGAAATATAAACACATTTACAAAACTCTACAAAGTAATGTGACACAGCTCTAAGCCAGTTACAGTGAATCCTGTGGAGCAAAGTTTTAATAAACCCCTTAATGAACACTAAACGTGAATGAAACTTACCTCTTAATATTCATTTGTTTTCTCATTTAGCCCATTTGTCTGCGGTTGATACTATTCCCAGAACACTGCACATCCGGTCGTTAAGCTTATAAGAAACAAACATACTTATATATAATTCTCATTTAAAAAAGTTACCAAATCATTTCTACATATATGGTAAATGGAAAGTAAACATACTTGATTAACAAATTCTCTGCCCTGGTCAGAAAGTATCCTTTTTGGGTAACCATGTAGGTATATCAGGGTACAAAGATGACGTCCCACCTCGGCAGCAGTTTTGTCTTCAAAGGAAACGCCTCTACCCACTTGGAGAAATAATCCGTGGCCGTTAATGTACTAGAAACCATTCACTGTCTTTGGGAAAGGTCATGTCAGGTTAATCCCAACCAGCTCCCAGACACGTAATGGAATGAAAAAAAATATATATATATTTGTAATAGACTCATGTAATAACTATTATGTAGTAATATATACTAGACATTTACCTTGATACACTGTAATGGCTGTGAAGCTAACAGAGGCTTTCCAACCGTCGGACACTTTGCGCATTCCTGGATATGTAAGAAATCAGTTAACCTGTGTACAGCATTCATAAAAATTGCAAAACCCCCAAAAATATAAACCTTACATTTGTAACCGCAATTAACATTTATGATGAATAGCTTTTTACAATGGTTCAAGAATTGAGTTGAGCGGACACCTGGACAATTGTGTACCTGGCCTATGCTGGTGCAGGAACCCACCCTCCAAGCTACTTGTGAATGATTGGCCTGATAACCGTGGAAATTACCCCTCTTCCTCCTCACAGATGACCTACACTTTCTGCAGCAGCTCTGATATATCTGGGTAGTTTTTGAGGAATTTCTGCACCACCAAATTCAGCACATGCACCAGACAAGGGATGTGCTTCAAACCGGCTAGGCCCAGAGCTGCTACGAGATTTTGCCCATTATTGCACACCACCAGGCCAGGCTTGAGGCTCAGTGGCAACAACCACTCATCGGTCTGTTCCATGCCCATGCACAGCTCCTGCACAGTGTGGGGTTTTTCCCCCAAACATATGAGTTTTAAAACAGCGTGCTGTTTCTCCCTAGCTGTGCTGAAGTTGGTGGTGAAGGTGTTACGCTGACCGGTAGAGGAGGAGGAGGCGGCAAAGAAATGCCCTGCAATCCTCAGTGGCGCAAGGACGTGCGCCAAACTGCTATCCGCCTCAGGCCCAACCGCCACTACATTTGCCCAGTGTGCAGTTAGGGTGATATAGTGTCTCTGCCCATGCTTACTGGTCAATGTATCAGTGGTTATGTGGACCTTGCCACGGATGGCGTTGCGCAGTGCACACCTGAGTTTGTCCGCTAATTGGTTGTGAAGGCATGGCTCGGCTGGGAACCTCGTACTGTGGGACAGCCACCGGCATCAGGTTTTTAAAACTGTCAGTCTCCACCAGACTGACAGCATTTCAAAGGCCAGCAATTTTGAAATACTGGAATTCAGGGCCAGGTATTGCGGGTGGCTACGGGGGTACTTCCTCTTTCTCTCCAGTGTTTGGGAGATGGACAGCTGAATGCTTCCATGGGACAGTGTGGAGATGCATGGGGACGGTGGTGGACGTGGTGGCGTTGCTGCCACATCCTGTTTGCTGGGTGGCAGGTGCCACTGTCACTCCAGAGGTGGAGGAAGAGGCAGAGACAGCAGCAGAAGAGGAAGCAGGAGAAGCCGGAGACCTTTCTTGGTTTTTGATGTGCTTACTCCACTGCAGCTCGTGCTTTGCATGTAGATGCCTGGTCATGCAGGTTGTGCTCAGGTTTAGCACGTTTATGCCTCGCTTCAGACTCGGATTGCTCAGCGTGCAAACCACTCATGTCTTGCCGTCAGCACATTGTCTGAAGAACTGCCACGCCAGGGAACTCCTTGGAGCTGGCTTTGGTGTGCTCTGTCCCTGGGTGCGGTGAGCAGTAGCAGGCGTACCCTCTAGGGGACGGGCGTTCCGCTTTTGCACTCTGCTCCCTCTTGTGCTGTGCTGGTGCCTCTGTGTGACAACCGCCTCTTCCTCCAAACTGCACACGTCACTCGCATGACCTTCATTCCATATGGGGTCTAGGACCTCATCATCCTCCACATCATCTTCCACCCACTCCTCAACCCTGCCCTCCTTGCCATTCTGCACACTGCAGAAAGCCACAGTAGTTGGCACTTTTGTTTCATCATCAGAGATGTGCTGCGGTGGTGCTTGCATGTCCACATCCTGACACACAAATGGTTGTGCGTCAGTGCACTCAATCTTTTCCACTTCTGGGGCAGGGCTCGGTGGATGGCCCATGGAAACCCCGCCAGCAGAGTCATCAAAAAGCATAAGAGACTGCTGCATGACTTGTGGCTCAGACTGCTTGGCTGATTTTGCAAGGTGGTGAGGTGAAAGACAGATGGCCATGGGCTGCAGGGGGCCGAGTGGGAGACAATGTGAAGGAACTGGAGGCACTGTCAGCCACCCAATCTACTATAGCCTGTACTTGTTGTGGCCTCACCATTCGTAGAGCGGCATTCGGGCCTACCAAATAACGCTGAAGGTTCTGTCGCTTACTCGCACCTGAGGAAGGCGACAATGTAACCGCCTATAGTCAACAATTAAGTTCACTGACCGTAAGGCAGTGCCGGTGTCCTAAAGAGAAACATTTCTAGATGTCACACAACAGTGTCGGGTGTAATTAATAGTTACTTCACTGTCTCAAAAAATTAGAATTTGTCATAATGTAACAGTAGTATTTAACGGTTTTATTGGACTGCAAGAAATGCACCGCAGGCCGCAAATGTACTATTTAGCACCAAAAAAAGAATTTTTCAAAGTGCGATGTTACCACCGTATTTGACGGTTCGATTTGACTCTCAGATCTGAAGTGCACGCCCCAAATTTACGTTTTAGCACCAAAAAAATTTGAATTTGTCAAACTGCAATGTCACAGCAGTATTTAAAAATGCTTAGATGTTGCCCACTGAGCTACCAGAACAGGATTAAAGTAATGTGCCTGGCACACATGCAGTTGCAAGTGCCCACCTAACAAACAGACTGCTTATTTCTCTGTGGCACTGGGCTCAGGGCAGGGTACAAAAATGTAGTATAGCACCCACAAAAATAATCGCTGTAGTTTGCAACCAGCATTCTTTCCTAATCTGTTCCTCAGAGCTGCAGCATTCTCTCCCTACACTAAGCGCTCATGTGACGTGCGGCGCTACGTGACTCCAGCTTATATAGAGGCTGGGTCACGTGCGGCACTGGCCAATCACAGCCATGCCATTAGTAGGCATGGCTGTGATGGCTTCTAAGGGCACACGAGTCAAATGCTTGTTTGTTGGCTGCCCTGCAGCTTTTCAAAACACGCCATTAAATCGCCGAACTCGCAAAACCTCAGCACATAACTATACTTGACACAGGGTCCTGTCACTATGACAAAAAGATGCAGTAAAGAGTCGAATTATTATAATGAACAATACCGAGGCAATAGCCACTTAACAATTATCTTCGTGTATCTACAGACTACTTTAACAAGGAGCTTTATCGTGTATAGTATCTACAGACTACTTATGTACAACTTGGTATACTACTATAACAAGGAGTTCTATCGTGTATTAGTTGTTAAAATAACCGCATTATGTAACATACTGTAATTATATTGCAAATTTCATACTGTACCGCTATACCAGTCCTAATGACTCATGGTTTTCTCAGTATCCTACTTGTACACTCGAACTATTACATGCTGTATCTTTATCTGAAAAACAATTTAAAAAATCGCCGAACTCGAACTGTTACTGAAATGTTCGGGGTAAAAAATCGTAATGTTCGGTACGAACCCGAACTTTACAGTTCGGGTTCGCTTCCCTCTGTACAAGAATGTTTACCATCAAGATCAAAACTCCCACAGCTGCTGGTTGCTGTGATGCATTATATGGGTATTCCATTGGGCTCCTTGTTCATGGATATACATCTTCAAGAGCATACTATTAAACAAAAAAAATGCACACACACAAGTTTTAATTGAAAGTTGTGCACATAAGTTTAATTGAAAACTTTTTTTTTTTTTTTTTCAAGGCACGCTTGCCTCCAGTTGTTGTACTTTCAAAAGATAGTTCTGTTCATGTCCCGGTGGGTCAGTTGGCACAATAACCTTCGTGACAATCTAAATTATTTGGGAAAACACAATTGTCTTTGATATGAATTTTTGGTGTATAAAGCATATGTTCTGCGATGTCATAGGGATGTAGTTAAATATCTGTATGTAACGAAATTACATAAATTCTAACCGCACATAACACAAGTAAAAGGTTAATGTAGTCCTAGTATACCACTAAAATCCAGTGAGCTCTGAA